TAAAATCAAAAAAAATTAAAAAAAAAAAAAAAAAACTCTGCTAGGCCGATGATGCACATGGGAAGGTTCTGTGTTTGTGTCTGGGAAACCTCCCAGATATGCCAGACAGAGCTGACCGAACACTAGAGTTGCATTGCAGCATCGAGTCCCTTAAATGGATGCTTGCTCTCTCTCTCTCTCTCTCTCTCTCTCACTAAAAAGATAAATAAAACTTAAGAACAAAAGGAAAACTAGGAGTGGGGCCAGCAGGTGGTGTGGTGATTAAGGTGCTGGGCTCCCATGATGGACCACAATTAGAGTCTTGGATCTGGTGGCTTGCTTTCTCACTCCCTTCCCCACCCCCCACTCCTAGCCTCTCTCTGTGTCTTTCTCTGATGAGCACACCTGCCCTATAGCGAATTTTAAAAATTAGGGGCCGAACTTGTAGTACAGTGGTTAAGTGCTGTGTATAGGGAGCCAGATACCACATGGCCAATCATGGTTTGAATCCTAATCCTACTGGCTTGAAAAACATCATATGCATGCATTTACATGCCCCATGTCCTAACAGCATAGAGAAGTGAAGGAAAAAGTATCGCAGCATAACCACATCCCATTGGGGGGTTACTTTCTCTCTCTCTCTCTCTCTCTCTCTGTCTCGTTTTCTGTCTGGCAAGGCAGGTGCCCTCTGGCAATGAAAAAAATATATATTAGTTTTTTAAAATTTGATGTGGGGGGCCAGCAGGTGGCATGGTGGTGAATTCCCACATCGGTGACTGCAGTTCAAGTACCGGACCTGATGGGTTGCTTTCTCACTCTCTCCCTCCCTCTCTCTGTCTTTCTCTGGCAAAACTCATGTGAAAATAATAATAAGAATGAATAAATAACCCATTTTTTTATGTGAAAATAATAATAATAATAAATAAATAACCCATTTTTAAAAAAATTGATTTGGGACTAATAGATGGTGTAATGGTTATGTCGCTGGACTCCCACATGGCCAACCACGGTTTGTGTCCCAGACCTGGTGGTTTCAAAATTCATGCCAGATGCGTGTACGTGCATGCCCAAGATCCCTGGAGGAGAATGGAGGAGAAGAAACTGTAGCGTGGCCATCCCTCCTAGGGGTGATTTCTTATTTTCCCTCTCACTGTGTCTGTTTCCGATCTCTTTGGCTAGCACAGGCACCCTAAGGTAAAAACCTCAATTAAAAAAAAAAAAAATGGATTTGGGCCCAAAGATTGCATGGTGGTTAAGGCACTGGACTCCTACATGGCCAAATGCAATTTAAGTCCTGGACTTGGCGACATGAAAATGATGCCGTTGTGATGTGTGTACATGCCTAAAATCTCAAGAGAATGGAGGAAAAGGGATTGAAGCTTGACCATCACCCCAGGGGGTGATTTCTTACTTTCCCTCTCACTGCCTCTCAGTTTTTCTCCAGTGAGCCCACGTGCCATATGGCAAAAAAAAAAAAAAAAAAAAACTCAAAAAAAAAAAAAAATGTTGGGGCTGACAGGTGGATGGGCACTGGACTCCCACCTGGCCAACTACAGTTTGAGTCCCAGACCTGGCAGCTTGCTTTCTCATTTTCCCTTTCGCTCTGTCTCTCTCTCTCTGGTAAATTAAAAAATAATAATAATTGGGACTAGCAGATTGCATAATGGTTACATTACTAGACTCCCACTGCGGTTCAAGCCTTGACCTGGTGGCTTGAAATTCATGCTGCTGGCTGCGTGCATGTGCGTGTGTGCCCAGAGGAAGGGGTTATGGCGTGACCATCCCTCTAGGGGAGTGGTTTCTTGCTTTCTGTTTCTCTGCCTCTCTGTGTCTCTCCGGTAAATGCATGTGCCCTATAGCAAAATCTCTCTAAATAATAATAACAATAAAAGAAAATAAAATTAATAATTATTTTTTCCTTCTTTTAGAGAGAGATTTTTCTATAGGGCATCCTGTCTGAATCCATTTTCTTTATTATTTATTTAATTTTATTTATCATTATTTATTATTATCATTGTTTTCTTTTTTATATGAAATATTTATTTGTATTTATTTATTTTAATTTGACCAGAGAAGGACAGAGTGAGAGAGAGAGAGGGAAAGTGAGAAAGCAAGCTGTCAGGTCTACAACTAGAACCTTGGTTGGCCATGTGGGAGTCCAGCGCCCTTAACCACCATGCCACCTGCCAGCCCCTATTATTATTTTCAGTTTGCCACAGAGCACATGTCCTCACCAGAAAGAGATAAAAAGAGAGGGAAGGCAAGAAAGCAAGCCACCAGGTCTGGGACCTGAATGACAGTCGGCCATGTGGGAGTCCAACACCCTAACCACCACACCACCTGCTGGCCCCCCTTTTTTTTTCTTTTTTAATGTTTCCCTGCCACTGGTCCGGCCCTGGGTTTTCTTACTAAGCCACCATCCATCCTCATCGTTTATCTTTCTCTCCACTTGGATTTCAAAAACTGTGTTTTTCTTTTCTATTACAGTTCATTTTTCTTCACATCTTATTTCTTCTGTGAATAGCTTTTCCCCAATCATCCTCAGGTTTATTAACCCGTAGAGATATCCGCACGCGACCCGCACTCGATTACATGGGAGTCCAGCAACATAGCCATTACGCTAACTGCTGGTCCCAAATCAATACCATTTTTTAAAAGAATTATTCATTTTGGGACCAACAGATGGTGTAATGGTTATGTTGCTGGACTCCCATGTAGTCGACCATGGTTCGAGTCCCGGACCCAGTGGCTTAAACTCACGCCAGGCACGTGTGCATGCATGCCCAAAATCCCAAGAGGAGAATGGAGGAGAAGAGATTGTGGTGTGGCTATCCCCTTGGGGGGTGATTTCTTGCCTTCTGTCTCGCTGTCTCTCTCCTTGTCTGGTAAGTGCACACACCCTATAGTAAAAATCTCCCAGGGCCAGCAGGTAGTATAATAGTTAAGGTCGCTGGACTCCCCCATAGCTGACCACAGTTCAAGTACCAGATCTGGCAGCTTGCTTTCTCACTTTCTCTCTGTGTCCCTCTCTCTCTCTCCTTCCATCTCTCTGGTCAAATTTAAATGAATAAGTAAAGTTAAATAAAATAATGATAAAAAAAAAAATCTTTCTAATGAGGCCGG